CTACTACTGCTACTGCTACTGCTACTGCTACTGCTACTGCTACTACTACTACTACCACCACCACCACTACTATCTACTGCTGCTACTACCACTACTACTACTGCTACTGCTGCTGCTGCTACTGCTACTGCTACTGCTACTCCTGCTGCTCCTGCTGCTCCTGCTGCTGCTGCTGCTACTACTACTACCTACTACCTACTACCTACTACCTACTACCTACTACCTACTACCTACTACCTACTACCTACTACCTCCTCTTCCTCTCTTCCTCTCTTCCTCTTCCTCTTCGTCTTCCTTTTCGTCTTCGTCTTCGTCTTCTTCTTCTTCTTCTTCTGCTTCTTCTTCTTCTGCTTCTTCTGCTTCTTCTTCTTCTCTTCCTCTTATCCTATCTTGTGCTTCTCTGTCGGGCTTCCACGTAGCGTGCGCATCAACCTCCATTGGGGCAACCTCTCTCCGCTTCTGCCCTCTGTCCCCTTCCATGCAGTGGCCTGCTGCCAAATTGGAGGCTTATACATAGTACCTGGCGCTACTTTGCTGGGGTCAGTACTGATTTGGTATACTGTCAATAGGATGCTGCGGCAAGCACTTGCTACACAAGCTGCCTCCGTTTTAAGGCTCTGTCTTCGTCTCCCCTTCTTCTTCTTCTTCTTCTTCTTCTTCTTCTCCTTCGCCTCTTCTGCTTCTCTCTCCGGCATCCACCTAAAGTGCACAATAAACTCCCTTGGGGCCACCTAGCCACTCAGCAGCCACTCTCAGAGAATGAACGTCAATGAACAGCAAATGAATCGAAACAAACTAGCGCTCTCAGAACATTGCAAATCAGGTTTGCCAATCACGAACAGTTTTCTTGCGATGTTTTCGTATTGCTTCTGAGCATATGGATCAGTCTGGCTCAGTCTGGCTCAGTCATGCCCAGTCACTGGAAATGGAGTAAGGGACACGGCAGCTTCCTCCAAGCACCCGGCTCTAGACGCGAGCATAAGAATGCGCGTCTCATCTCAAGAAGCACCTTTGGCTGCGTGAAACACAAAGAAAGGTCCAAAGGCCACAACGATTCCAAAGCATTCCAAAGCTCAAGATCAATACTCCAAGCAATCGCTAGAACAGATCCCTTCCAGAACCTTCCTGAGATCCGATGTAAGATCCTGTAATCCCCAAACACCAAGACCTCTGGCAACCAAAGCAGAAGCGCAACTGGCACAACTCCCTGCCAGTTCTTTTCCCGCTCTGCTGCTCTCGGTTCAGCAGCCTTGGCACAAAGTCAAATCCTTCCGTGCCAATCCTGTGGAAGCCCCTTTGTCTCGGGAAACTGCTCTTGACCCAACAGCTGTATGGTGCGAGATTCAGATGGACACGGCAGAAATCAGTAGAAATCAAGGCAACATGTCAAACCGCAGCTTTTGAAAGAAAATGTACCTTGGAAACGAACCCTTCGTTCTTCAACTTCACAAGGGCCACATCAGGTGGCTCAGGACGACATCGGGACCTGCAGCTTTTGAAAGGCATGAAAGGCGACAGGCAAAGATAGGAAGGACATGAGAGGAATAAACGTGGATAAAACAACTATGTACAGTACAGTACATACAAAAGAACAATATAGTCCTTACATAAGTTATGAAGTGATGTTGATCCAAGTTATCCTACCTTCATCATTTGACTCAACAGTCAGTGGAATGCATAGCATGACCAAGCCGCCCACAGTGGCACCGTGCTGTAGGATTCAAAGATCTTACTGGCCTGCAAGCATGGTAAGTTCTCAGACCGGGTTTACAGCCGGCAAGAATCCGACAAGATGCATAAATGTCGCGGATCTCTGCGCCCACAGAATTTCACGCAAACCGAACATATTGAACAGGCCTCTTCCCTGTCAATGGGCGATGAACCTGGTTGATGTCTCTTGAATACGCTCTGTCATTCTGTAGATTTTTAAAGAAAAACATCAGAAAACTATTGAAAATCAAAAAACTACTGATTGAATCAGACCTTCAGGTAATCCGCCGACCCGAGGGAACAAGGGGGAGCGCGTCTGAGAAGCAATACCAAATGGGCAAGAAAGAGGGCGCGACGACGGAAGAACAACGGAAGCCACGTGCCGGAGGCTTGAAGGTTGCAATTTGGAGCTATTTTCTTGTCAATTCGGAAAGCCGTCTGTCGAAGGAGCTCGTCCGGCCTTCCTTCGCATGGTGTTTGGAACTGGCGAGTTCACGGTTGAAAGAGGGTGCCACGACGGATGACAAACGGAAGCAACGATCCGGGAGCTTGAAGGCTGCAAAGCTAGTTTCTGTTAGAAAGCAACGTTGGGCCGGGGCAATTGCCAGCCGAAGGCCCCGTCGTCCTCTAGTTTCGTGGTGCGACAGTGCTGCGAGGCCAAGGTTTTGGAGGCTTGCAAGTTGGAAATTGAAGCTAGAGATCCTAGTCGCGTCAAAAAGCGACGTTAGGCACTGGCAGCCATTTGTCCTTGTGTTCCATTGTGTTTCGGTGCTGCGAGGCCAAGGTTTTGGAGGCTTGCAAGTTGGAAATTAGGCTAGAGATCCTAGTCGCGTCAGAAAGCGACGTTAGGCACTGGCAGCCGTCTGTCCTTGTGTTCCATGAGGCCAAGGTTTTGGAGGCTTGCAAGTTGGAAATTGAAGCTATAGAGATCCTAGTCGCGTCAGAAAGCGACGTTAGGCACCGGCAGCCGTCTGTCCTTGTGCTCCATGGTGTTTCGGTGCTGCGAGGCCAAGGTCTTGGAGGCTTGCAACCTGGAATTTGGAGCTATAGGTTCTAGTCACGTCAAAAGCGACGTTAGGCACTGGCAGCCGTCTGTCGAAGGCCCCGTCCGTCCTTAGTTCCATGGTATTTCGGTGCTGCGAGGCCAAGGTTTTGTGCTGCGAGGCCAAGGTTTTGGAGGCTTGCAAGCTGGAATTTGGAGCTAGATTCTAGCCGCGTCAGAAAGCGACGTTGACACTGGCAGCCGTCTGTCGAAGGCCTCGTCCGTCCTTTAGTTCCACGGTGTTTCAGTGCTGCGAGGCCAAGGTTTTGGGGACCTATAGGTTCACGTCAAAAAGCGACGTGTTTCGGTGCTGCGAGGCCAAGGTTTTGGAGTCGTGCAATGGGCCGAGCACAGTGGTATTCAGCCATTTGGACCATGACTCGCGTGTGACCCAGGGGTTGGCGGCAGGAGCGGTAGCCCCTTAATCCGGGTGCCGGCCACGGAGCCCGTGTCCTTGCCGGAGGCCTTCGGTGGTAACCGAAGGTTATAGGCGCTGCGCCCCCTGCCGCCGACCCACCCCGTGTCGACTCCCCCCCGACTGAAGGACCTGTAATTTACGGTTTTTTTTGCTTGCGGTGTTAAAAATCATCGTAAAAATAGGCCAACATAGGCCCAACATAGGCCCAACATGGTGCCAAGATTGCTTGGCCGGCGCCCGGCTGTCAGGCGTAAGCCTTTAAATATTTCTTCCAGCTGAGTGGCTGGCTCAGACCCTTCTCACTGGAAAATTGCATGGCCACAGCCTCAAACTGTTTTCTCTAGGAGCCCAACGGAGGCAATGCGACGAGATACAGTTAAGTTACATATGGCTAGATACAGATACAGTTCATGTCCAATGTAGAATTCAAAGGCCAGTACAGTGCAATGTCGACGGCCGCCAAGATGATCCCGCATACGCAGCCTTTGCAGTCGAAAAAATGGTGTGCGCAGCTGCGCAACTATTAAATCTTAGAATTGGTAAGCTTCTAAGCAGTTCTAAAACCAGTTCACTTCAATAAACATGTAAAAGCCCCAAACGGTGTTGCGAATGCAGCACCACAAACACTGCAGCGTCGCAGGCCATCTTGCAATGGTGCTGTACAAGCCTTAGCAAAGTGCAAAATCTTTAGGGGGAACAAAATCGAATCAGCAGATTTGATGATTGGAGAAAAAAAAGAAATAAAACGAAAACATCAGAATCCGGGGAAAACAAAAATACACGGGAACCTGAATAAGGTAGAGAAAGCGCCTGGCCAACAGGGGACAGAAGAATTGAAGAAGAGCCCTTTTGAGCATCATATTCGCAGACCCCCCCGGCAACATCCAAAAATCATCCTTGCTTTGGCCCCAGCCATCATGATTCACGCTAGGTGCTGAAACTGAGAAAGATACAACTGCACGCAAGGCAGCTATCAGCATTTCAAGCTCAAGTGCTTCGCCAGGAGGAGGCCTAGGCAGCACAATAGGAGCGATCGCTCCATGTTACTCTTGATCAGTCTCAGAGCTCAGCAAATCAGTCAGCGAACAATTTTGACAAATCTATACCACAGTAGCCATTCTAATTAAATTAATAAGATAGTGCCAATTGCTACGATGCAATACATTAAGCTGAATGTCTCAAACAGATTCAAACAGTGGGAACCTAACTATCACCATCTGCAAGACTCTTGGAAGCCAGCGGAAGCTGCAATTGCCTCTGTAGAACACGAACCATAGGGTCGAGCCTTTGTTCATCAAGAAAAGACGTTGGACAGCTCAAACATGCGACCATCATGTAGTGCAACGTGATCCGCAAACCCAGGCAGACTTTTGCTCGAACCCTAAGCGGTTCTGCCAGTGTCAACTGACGAGTCTTTGGGAATGTCCCGCATTAACTAACTTCTTTAACTTCTTGGCCTCAATTGGCCTCAGTTTGGACACGTTTTCTATGAGCGGCTGAAGGCACATTGTCCTTCCTTTTTCCGCTTTAGATCACTTCACAAATCAGTTCTTGCCTTTTCTCCTTCTGCTTCTTCTAATGCTGCTTTCCGCCTAACGTATTCTTCAACGGGAATAGTCTCAGTGACTGTCCAGCGGCCTGGTATAAGGGATCCCTTGCATTTGATGGGATCACCTGCACGGGCATGTGGATGACAAAGGACATCTTTCTCCCAATCCATCTCATGGTCAACGTTTTCCAGATACCATTTGAGATCTTTGCAGCCCAGCTCATCTCTCAGTACATTGTAGTTGGCGATCACTTTGTCCATGCCAGTCAGCTTCATTGAAA